ATATTGCTGGCAGAAGTACTACCCATGCGTGCTTGAACGTGTGTGCATGTGCATCAGATAGGGGAGGAAAGGGAAGTAAAATTAAGTGGTGCAAGTCGTGCTGGGGAAGCGTCTCAGGGAAGGCACAGAGAAAAGGGAAGTCACTAGGAGTGGGTAGGGAATGAGGAACTAGAGATTTTCCAAGGTTAAGGAAACAGTTTGTGTGAAGTGGGAGGCAGAAGTGATAAGCCACACTAAGAATGTTGGACTTCACCCTAAGCAGTGGGGACGCAGAAAGGCACCTTAGAGAGGCCGGTACCACCCACACACTGAGTGTGGCAAAATGGTGGGACAACAAGTGTATTGCAACTCAACATAGTGAACTGGACCAACGCTCACAAAGCCGCGTCTATCCTAGAATGGCTTCCACAATCCCTGTCCCTTGGCATCTCGGTTTCTCTCTTTCTAAAATGGAGCAAGTAGCCACTACTTGTTCTCTCTTAAAAGAGCACCTGTGCCCCATGTAAGTTTCATCGCCTGTGAGCTATAGAACTGTTTAAACTGAAAGAAAAAACTTTATCACAATATATTTTCTGCTGAATACAGGATCCAGCACAAGAGATGGCCCTTTGTTTTACAAAATCTTTTATTACAAAATCTTAAGCATGTAATTCTATAACATAACAATATCACCATATGACATTTTAGGTAAAATGTTCAAATTAAAACTATAAATTATTACATCCATATATTACCCTACCAACAATGTTCAAGCAGGCATTACTTCTGCTGGACTCTTTATTATTAGTTATAAGCTACTGATGTAAAGTTAAACAGCAATGGAGCTCAGTTAATACTCTCCCAGGTAATATACAATAAAATTAACAGAATAAAAACCAAACAATGAGCCACAATCCATAAGATCAGCTCTCTCAGCAGAGGGCTGTATTGAGAGTAAGACTGGGTTTCTGTCATAGGAGCTTCACTGTGATGTCAAATTTGTCTGCCTTTTAGCTCCTTGGAGGGTAACATAGTCTTTCATGGGGTTACTTGAGTTTTCTCAATCTATAGTCTTTTTCAGTATACCTGTATTCGGTTGCCATTAGCAACCACGTACTGACAGACGCTAATAGGGGAAAAGTGAGCGCTAGCTCTCTCAATTATAACTCCTAGGATCTTCCAGTGATAATATATAAGTTAGTGCCAGTCTATTTAGCATAGGATCTCTAAATCCTCTGTTTGTGTTGATTTTGACTCCTTAACCAGATCATTCTCCTAATTGTGGTAAGCTTGAACGCCTCATTATGCCCAGAATGACACAGATTAATTTCAAGAGACCTTGCCCAGACCACTGCAGCCATTTCTTCACAGTGTCGTCTGCTCACAGCTGCTTCCTGGCCACGTGATCATGGAAAGCAAACCAAATGGATCACATTCGGCAGGGGTCCCCAATGTCTGGGTCACTGTCTGGTACTAGTCTGGGCCACTTAAGGAACCAGACCACACAGGAGGAGCTGAGCTTCAATGTAATGCCCTGGAATCATCCAGAAAACATTCCCCTACCCACCATCCGTGGAAAAATTGTCTTCCACGAAAACAGTCTCTGGTGCCAAGAAGGTTGGGGACCGCTGGTCATTCAGTACTTTCGGGCTCAGGGAAACTGTGAAAACTAGAGTACTATAGTGACCACAATTGTGGGTCAGCAGAAGTCACTTCCAGCAACAAACTGGTTGGGGTTCTGCTAAATTTTATAGTTAAACAAAATGATTGGTAAATGAATATTTTTTTTTTACTCCAACAAATTAATTGGCTATTTAACAACTGATTCTGATCTAAGCTGTGAATTGAGTGAATTCTGTATTTCACATCAGGACAATAAGCACAGTGAGCATTTTGCTAAGATTAAAGCAGGAAGTAAGTTTAGAGGCTGTCTCTCTGATGATCGGTTTGAAAAAGACAATCACGCCTTTGCTAATTATTCTTCCTTGCTACCATCTTTGGTCTATATAATGGATCCAGAAAAAGCCTACCCACTTTATTATCTACTATGATTTCCACTGAAATCTTTCACAAAGTATGTGCTTTCATAACTCTAGTCTTAGGGCATGCTCTTGGAAAAATCGTTTCATGAGAAAAAAAGTGCCATTGGTTGAATAACTCAGGGAAAGCCTACAAATTATGTCACTCCTTGGGTATTCACAGTAGGCATTAGCATACTAAAACCACAGAGAAGTTCTTCAGTGAGAAACTTGGGTAATTTCACTTCACCCATAGACACCCCAAACTACCTGACCACAAACCCTGTTTCTAACGACCTCTTAGTAATATCTTGTGAAACAGGAATTCGCAGAATGTCCTTTGGAAAAAAGGCATTAGAACAGGGAGACATCCAACATAGCCAAGTTATTTTCTAAGCCTCAACTTTAACAAATGCCACACTTCAATTGCACCCATTCAGTTACCTAAATTATAATTTGTTTTAGAAGTACACATTTGTAACATTCCCTGTTCTAGCCAGTGAGCACAGGAGCTGTATCAATAGGAGCTTCTGGTATTCTTGAAAAGGAAATATACTATATTTTTTCACACCATAAGACATACCTAGGTTTTAGAGGAAAATAGAAAAAAATTTTGAAGCAAAAAATATGGTAAAATATTTAATAATATAATTAACATAATATTTTACCAATGTAAATGTAAACAGATTTCAACAGTAGCAGTAACAACCATTATTCCTCTCAAATGGGGGGTGTGTCTTATAGTCCAAAAATACAGTATCTCCTAAAAGGAAATTGCACATGTACTATGGGAGTTGGAAGGGGAAGGGCAAATGAATGAACTTTATCCACTTTAGAGACAATGGCAAAGCATACACACCCTTTGTTCCCTTCTGTCTGTCATTTTCTTCCTTTACCCAGAGATACTCTGAATACAAAATGTGTTATTTGTTCTGTGCCTACCCCTTTGGCAATTTGGGATCCCTTCCCTGTTAAGCCGAAACACGTTCGTCATCAGAACTTATTGTCAGGAGTTCATAGATCTTTGAGCCAGAGGGAAAGAAAACGGTCACCCTCATCTAAGCTACCAGAAGCCCTTGACTGGCCCCCAATGGTCCCCTTGCTTCTAACCTGGCCCCTAATACACAGTTCCCCAGGCAGCAGCCAAAGTGATACTTTTTAAAGGTAAATTTAACTGAGTCTTTTTCCAGCAGCTTCCTGTCACACTAAAACCCCAAATCTTTACCAAGGCTACAAAAACCCTACAGTGACCTAGGCCAGCCGCCTCTCCCACAGGAGTTCCCACCGCTTCTGGGCTCCCCCAGCTCCAGCCCCGCTGCGCCTCCGGGCCTGTGTACTTCCTTTTCCCCAGAGGCGGTTCCCCTCATTTCATCAGGTCCCTGCTCATCTGCTGTCTCTGCACAGAGGCTCTGCTCAGACACGTCATCTAGAATAGCAGCCTCATCTCCCACCTCACTCCCCCTGCATCCCCCGTGCCCCTTGCCCTCCTTACTTTTCTTTAATGGGCTTGTTGCTATTTTTAAGAAAATATGTATAGGTCTACTCGTTTCCCTCTGTGAAGGCAGAGGCATTATTCTGTTTTTGCCGCAGTCTATATGCTTGGCACATTATAGGCCAAGCACAATGTTTGGCTTTCAATGTTTGTTCAATGCATGAGTCAATCAATGAATAATTGAATGACACATTTACAGTAGAATCAACCTGTACAGTAAAATGGTATATATGTCAATGAATAGCTGAATGAATTAGAAAATATACATCTTCTCCTCAAAATCCAGCAGGTAACAAAGTATGGCAGTAGCACAGGAATTTTAAGAAATTGTTCTAGAGAGAATCTGTCACTTGTAGCTGGGTGGCCTTGAATAAGATACTCAAATTCTGTGTCTTGGCCTCTTATCTGTAAAAAGGGAAACAATAATATCTACCTCACAAGGTTATTATGAGGATTAAATTAGAAAATGGACATGAAGCCCATGGGACAAGTGCCTTCCATAATGAATGGTAGGTATTATTAATACCCCAAATCCTCTTTTATAGAATTTTCTTTCATAGAAAGGTACCTTTTATTAATTCCAAGTGGAGGTCCCTTGGCCTGCTAATACATGAGATAGTCAGATACTCATGAAACATATGGTACTAAACAGAGAAGATTTTTAGATTATTATTTTGAATTACCTAGACAAAGAATCTTCAGCATTCTAAGGACATGAATATATGATACATCACTTTTATACCATTGTTTTTTACTTTTTAGCCTTCTATGTAAAAAGCTATCTAGAGGAGAGTGAGGGGAGAGAATGAGGGGAAAGGTACAGGGAGTAAGAAGCGTAACTGATAAGTACAAAATAGACAACGGGGAGGTTAAGAAGAGTATAGGAAATGGAGAAGCCAAAGAACTTATATGTACGACCCATGGACATGAACTAAGCGGGGAAAAGTGGGCGGGAGGTGGTATGCAGGATGGAGGGGAATAAAGGGGGGAAATGAAACAACTATAATAGCATAATCAATAAAATATACTTTTAAAAAGTTATTTTTTTCCAATTCATTGTCCCACTTTATTTATACATTCATTGGCTGCCTCCTGTGTGCGTTCTGACTGGAGGTCAAACTGTCCACCTCAGTGTATTGGCACAGCACTCAGACCAAATAAGCTACCCAGCCAGGGCTTTATGGTTAATTGTAATATCTTTTTTTAAGTGTAAAGAGTTTTTATTTATTTAAAGTTAATAAATTTTTATCTAAGGGATTTCACATGTTCTGAGTCCTTGGTTTCTTTAGTCTGAGTCTTAATTCCTTTTTTGGCTCAATCCAGTCACTTGCCATGACAGTTGGTCCCTAATTCTTTTAGTTGATCTTTGCTCTCCACTTGCATATGGACATACTCCTCAAAACCTCCCCACCTGTAATTGTTGGGGCCCAATTTCCTCAAGCAATTTACTTTAGGGCCACAGGGTCAGAATAGATGGATCTGCCTGGTTTCACAGTTTCAGGCACCCTAAGTTATCACTATTTAGAATAGTACAGATCTTCGAGATATACAAAAAACCTTTAAGTCCAAAAACTGTGTTTTCAACATAAAGCCCTTGATGTTCATATTCCTATCTCCATTTCAGGTTGTTCTGTCTTCTGTCCAATGTTTTTGCACTTTGATACTCTCTTTTTAGACAAAGCAGCTTCTCCAGTATATTCTTGTTCTAAATACACATTCATCTTCTTTGGTAAGTCAGAACTTATTATGAAGTAACTATTCTCCACCAATTTGATATCACATTCATCATGTTCGAGGTTTGTTTCAGCCTCATCCTCTCCCACTGGGTCTTCAACAGGAGAGAGAGATCCATCATCATCCAAGTATTTATATCTGTGACTATCAAGGTCATCTTTTTCTAAATCTTCACTAACATTCATTTGTTTCAAGGATTCCCTGAGATGGTATTCATACTTCAGTTTTTCAAGGTAGTTGAAAAATCCTCATGCCACCGCTTGCTCAAATGTTAAAATTTTTCTCCAAGGTAATGGTTTTCTTCCATTCTCTGATTCTAAAAATGGGAACTGGGGTCTGTTATCTTTAAACTGTTTCTTAATTATGCGTGACCTAGTGCTTTTCCTTCCTTCTGGTCTTTCCCTTGGTCTTCCTGTTGGCGTGTATTTCCTCTTTTTACATTTCTTTTTCTTGGATCTTTCAAAAATAGCTTTCTTTTTTTCAGATTTTTTAATCGATTATGCCATTACATTTGTTCTATTCCCCCCCTTCATTCCCCTCCACCCTGCACTCCCCTCCCCCACCATTCCCCCCCCCTTTAGTTCATGAACACGTGTCTCAAGTTCTTTAGATTCTATATTTCCCCTACTATTCTTACCCTCCCCCCATCTATTTTCTACCTACTGTCTATGCTACTTATTTTCTGTACCTTCCTCCCCTTCTCCTTCTCCCACTCCCCTGTTGCTAACCTTCCCTGTGATCTTCATTTCTATGGTTCACTCCTGATCTAGCTGTCTCTTCATTTGCTTTTGTTTTAGGTGTGGTTGTTATAACTGTGAGTTTGCTGTCCTTTCACTGTTCATCTTTTTTATCTTCTTTTTCTTAGGTAAGTCCCTTTAACATTTCACATAATAAGGGGTTGGTGATGATGAACTCCTTGAATTTGACCTTATCTGAGAAGTACTTCATCTGTCCTTCCATTCTAAATGAAAACTTTGCTGGATAGATCAATCTTGGTTGTAGGTCCTTGGCTTTCATGACTTGGAATACTTCTTTCCAGCCCCTTCTTGCCTGTCAGGTCTCTTTTGAGAAATCAGCTGACAGTCTGATGGGAACTCCTTTGTAGGTGACTGTCCCCTTATCTCTTGCTGCTTCTAGGATTCTCTCCTTCATTTGAATCTTGGCTAATGTAATGATGATGTGCCTTGGTGTGTTTCTTCTTGGGTCCAACTTCTTTGGGACTCTCTGAGCTTCCTGGATTTCCTGGAAGTCTATATCCTTTGCCAGATTGGGGAAGTTCTCTTTTATTATTTGTTCAAATAAGGTTTTCACTCGTGACTGTTCCTCTTCCCCTTCTGGTACCCCTATAATTCAGATGTTGGAGCATTTAAAGATGTCCTGGAGGTTCCTAAGCCTCTCCTCATTTTTTTGAATTCTTGTTTCTTCATATTTTTCTTTTTGGTCATTTTTTCCTTCCTTCTGGTCTGCTCCCTTGATTTGAGTCCCAGTTTCCTTTCCATTACTATTGGTTTCCTGTGCATTTCCCTTCATTTCAATTAGTTTAGCCTTTATATGTTCCTCTAATTTGTGACTAAAATCAACCAGTTCTGTGATCATCCTGATCACCAGTGTTTTGAACTGTGCATCTGAAAGTTTGGCTATTTCTTCATCGCTTAGATTTATTGGCTCTGGGGCTTTGAGTTGTTCTTGAGCCATATTTTGATCTGTTCGTGCCTGTTACATATGCGGAGAGGCACCTTAGGTGTTCACCAGGGTGGGGCCACCCAGGTAGCTGATTTGTGACACTGTATGTGGGGGCGCGGTCACCCGATCCGCCTCACGGCTCACCCTCGCCTGTTTATCTGAGCGCAAATGAGTGAACCCACCACCCTGGGCCGCAGGGGCCTGCGTGATCTGTCTCAATGCTCGCCTCTTCACTGATTTATCTGTGTGCAAATGCACTACCGACTGCAGACAGCCAGCCGCACCTCTTCCCTGGGCCCGCCCGTATCTAGCCCACACCTGGGATCCACGCCCTCGGCTGCCTGTGCACTGCCCAGGTTGGGGGATCTTTTTTGCCAGACCTGCTCTGCTGCTGGCTTCACCCCTCTCACCGGTTTAGCTGAGCAGTTTATTATTTTTGGACTCCATATTCGATTTTCTGTGTGGTTTGGTTGCGTTTATTGTTGTTAAAACTTTATTGTTTTTAGATTTGGTTGTGCGAGGATGTAAAGTATTCCCACCTATGCCTCCATCTTGGTGGAAGTCTAAAAAGTTATTTTGATTTTTAAATGACTTTAATTTTGAAATAGTTTAGGACTCTGAAGAAGTTGCAAAAATAGTACAATTTCCATATAGCCTTCACCCAGCTTCCACCAATGATTACATCAGACATAACCATAGTAGAGTCTCAAAACCAAGAAATTGGCACTGAGCAATTCTCTTAACTCAGACACATACCTTATTTGAATGTAGATGAAGGATTTTTTAAATCTTAGGGTTAGGAACTAATTAGGATCCTATCTTAGCTCTATTAATCAGGCAAATGAGGCACACATATTAGTGTATAAAAACTGTAAATTATACAGTTTCTTTCATTTTCAAAGAATTTTAAAACTTAAAAAAGCTATTAGTTCCAACCTGCCTAGAATTCTGGTCTACCCATTCTGTAAAAGCAAAACAAAAAGGCCCTTCACAATTTCAAAGGGATGGAGATGAGAATCCCTGAATTTAATCACTAAGGTCAAAGCCCTTCTTTCCCTGAAACACAAATTCCTTCTTCTTTTTTAAAAAAATTAGTTCTGGATTGCTGTGTATTAGTATTGGAAGGGAAGTAAAATTGCAAGCAGGCCCAAAACTGAAGGAGTATTTTAACTCCTGCTAGGTGAGTATGAGGGCAGAGATGTGGGGCAAACAGTCACTGCATTCTGGCTGGTCCCACACAATGGGACACATCCCAGCTGTCCCTCACCCACAGCCCCTCCCACTACTTTTGGGAAGAACACTTTAGAGCAAGGAGATATCTCCCAGCTCTGAATGTGTACAAGTTAGCACCAAGTGCAAATACTTTTTGATGGAGAGGAGGGGATACAAAAGTGTGCTTTAAAGGAAAACAAAATCTAGAAGTACAAACACAGAACTAGCTACAGGTGAGAGATTGACACTTTTTGGGTTTTGTTAACTGAATGCTTTCTACTTTTTTCTTTTGCATAATTCCTCCCCACAGGGCACTCTACTTGGGAGCATAAAGAGTGACTAAACAGACCACATTGGAGTTGAAACATGCTTGTCACTAGAGTGTCCTGGAACTGAGCACATAACTTTTTGTTTTAGGTCTATCCTGGTTGAATTTTTGGGTCTTTGTAAGACTTTCCCAAAGTGTGATAATCTTGTTCTAGAGAATAAAATAGATGGAGCAAGGCAAAATGTCAAGGTACCCCCTTCTTCTGCATGGAGTAAAGGAGCTCAGAAGCAGAGGGCACGTGGTCAAGTCCTAGCTCCACAATCTACCAAATAGGAAAACTTGAGCAAATCTTACCCTCAGCTTCCTCATCCATAAAATGGGTAATATAATAATAATAACAGCAATAAAAATAACAATATCTATAGGATTTGTTTATGGAATCATAAGATTATAGATGTGAAAGTCCTTTACAAGTGAAAGATGTTATTGTTACGTCACCTGAAAAAAAAACATAATCAAAAATCCTATTTAAATCCATTGCGATGTTTTTATAACAGAAGTTCAAATTTAAATCCATTGCGATGTTTTTATAACAGAAGTTCAGAAGCTTTTTATAACAGAAGCTCAATGAAATGATTTAATAGAAAACTTTCTCTTTCCCTTCTTTTAACTATAGAGTGAAAAATCTGTATAGAGGATGGATGGAAGTTCTTCATAAAGAACTCTTCAAAAGTTTTTCTTCCCAAGTTTATAAGGTCTATGAAGTCTATAGTGTTATTTTTCTCTCCATGAGTATTCTTTATAAAACTCTTCCCTGGGTCTTGCTATTATGGAAAATCAGGAGGGAAAAACTTAAAGCTAGTCTGCAAGAGAGTTTTCATAAGTCTTCATGGTAATGAGAAAAATAACCACAAGTTGGTGAGCTAAATTAATTAAATTTACGTGACTGTCATTTATCCTGAGATTATGTCCTTCCTACATTATTTAGTGTAAAAATCCCCTTTCTCTTCTGAAATGATGGTGACAGTGGATGGCAACTGTTTTGTTTGTTTTCAATGTCCCTACTCTCTCTGCAAAATAAAAGTTGGCTACCCCATGTCAGGCCCCAATTATTTTTTGAAATTGGACTGGCCCCTGACATGCCAGCCCCTGGGAACCCTTGGTTTAGAAGGTTAATTGGAGGTGGCAGGGCTGGCGGTAGGGAAGCCAGTTCAGCTGCCTGTGTTTTGCTCCCTTCCCCAGAGGCCCCGGGCCCACTGCCCCACATCCGGGCTGTCGCCAGTCCCTGGCTGTGTATCTGCAGACCAGCACCCCCAGCCCCCAACTCCCGACTCCTAATCCCTGTCCATTTCATTCTCCCAGCTTCTCTTAGCTGGCGTCATCCTTCCAGACACAGCTCCCTAAATTTGCCATGTGCAGTGACCCTGTGTTGACCCCGAGCCATGATACAAACTATGGGATTGTAATGAATCTCTAATTACCCACAGTACCTCCATGAGTCGTCGTCAGCCCTGCTGCTCAGCTATATTCCTCACCAATTTGGTCATCACTAAGCATTCAGAATGCAGCCAAACTCTTGTGCCCGGAAGCTGGGAGCCCCCACAGTCTCTGCCAAATGAGGCTGGCTCTGCAGGCTTCTGGGAACGACAGGATGATTTCTTCCCTTGTTATGAATCAGAGAGGGTGTCTGCACATGAATCATTCAGCTCTGCGTGGGGGCCTTGTCTTGACTTTTCTTTATTCTAGTAGTTCTGGCTGAGTAGATGCTCAGGAACTCAGGGGATTGCCCTTGGGCAGAGGGCTTAGCATTTTTAACTTCACGTGATAATTCTGAAATCCTACGTCTTTTTCCCAAGCCAAAAAGGGATATTGCCTAGATTTAACAAAGTGCCAGGCAGCTGGTCTTGATTTTCAAGCAGAAAATGTCAGTTCTTACCAGAGGGGAAAATAGCTTCATGACAATAATAAGAGCTCCCCCGTGTGCCGGGCCTTGTGCTAGAGGTTTTATACACATTCTGATATCGACTAAAGCCACGACAAGAAAGGCATTTTACAGACAAGAAAACTGAGGCTTGAGGAGTTAAGTAATGGTTAAGTTTCCAAACTCTTACAACTACAAAGCAACAACTTGCCTTGTGCCAAAGCACATGTTCTTCAGGAATATTTCATAGTTGGAACCGGACAGAGACTACTGGTCTCACAGGTTGAAGAACTTTCCATTCACTATCACATCCTAGGTGAAGAATTACTCCTATTTTTCAAAGTAACTTATAGAATTGTATTTTTAAAGGTTAAATGAGATAG